AGGTGGTGGCCAGGGAAGGTAAGGAAAACCTGCTGGCATCTTCCCACCTGCCTTATCTGGGACTGCCAGTGTGTGGTTAGGGCTTGTGCACACCACATGTGCTGCGTCCTGCGGGATGTGGGGCAGGAGCTGGGGGGTGCTGCGGCTGCATGGATGCAGAGGTGCAGCAGGGCTGAGGGGTGCTTGTGAGGGGCTGGAGAAGGCCAGGGAGCAGGGTGCTGGATGCGATCAGGCCGTGATCGTTCCTCTCATGAAGATAAACTGGCCATTGTTGCCAAAAATAAATGTTAGTGTTCCAAATCCACACTTCAATAGCACCAGCTCATTAGAGATGCATATCATTTGGCTCCGGTCCCACACCTTCCAGCTTGTTATAAATATGCAGTTGCTGCTGGCTCTACCCCAATCATCTCTGCAATCAGAGCTTTTAATTAGGTTAATTAAATTGTATCAAACCTCGCAGGGACGCAGTTCACTGATGCTGATGAGGCAGCCAAAACAGACCTTAACTCTAGCTCTAATGAAGGCCCTGCTGCAGCTAATGACAATGCATAATAAATTAGAGCTTCCCTAGAAAGGTGCATCAGGGCTTGTGCTTCAGTAAATCATGATCTATATGCACTAAGTTACTAGTTCAGTCTTTAGGTTTGCCAAGCCTGGGAATACGACCTCAGTGAATAATGGGCTCCTACCTGCTCGAAGCAACGCTGCTCACCTTGGTGTTCTCAAGGCACTAAAGGCTTTGGGTATGTAACTGTAGAGATGGCAAAGCAAGTACCAGCTGCTTTCACCCTGTGCAGAACTGGCTCTGCTCTGATGTCTGCCTTCCCCCACAGAGGCAGCAGCAGGTATTTATCTGAATCCCTCTGTGATGGAATTTGGGCAGGAACGTTCTGTTTAGAGGGAAACGGGGGCTGCGTCCCAGTGCGTGGCAGTGGGGATGGGGGTGATGCTGTGTGCCCAGGCTGCTCCTGCCTGTTTGCAGCCCTCATCCTGCTCCCAGCCAGGTGAGGAAAGGTGCGGGTGGCCAAGGAGCCTGTGGAAAGGGATGTGCAGAGAGGCTCAGGGCAGCCATTAGTCATTCCCTATTTACATCCTGCTCTTTCAACTCCCTGCTGTGAAGCTGGCTGGAGCAGAGGAGCTCCACCACCCTTTCCCCTTTAGTGCCCTGGGGCGAAGCACCTCAGCTGAACCTGGCTGTGAGCACAGCAGGGTCTTGGTGACAGCCTGAGACGGCTGTGATCCCACTGCTGGACCACTGCCCCATGCTGGGGTCACCATCCTGATGGCGAGCAGGAGCTGGGATCATGGTGAGTGGACTCATGGCGTGGTGCAGCACACATGGGCACGGTGATGGGATGGGGGGATCAAAGCTTCTCTGCTCTGCTGAAGGAGAGCTCTGGGGTTTCCAAGTGTTCCCAACAGGGATGGGGCAAGAGATGCTGCTGTGGCAGTGTCCAGTCTGGTTCAGGCTTGGAAAACAGGGCCTATAGGAAATCACCCCTGAAGGCCAAGGAGGTGATGGCTCTACTGCTAGAAATATATTGGTGCAGTTGCCTAGAGATAATCCTGCAGGTGTTTTAATGTAGCCTGCTATTAAGTTTTATAGACAGTCATTATCAATTGAGTTCTTCAGCCTGAACAAGGAATTCCATGAAATTATTATACAGCACGGTATTATTGTGAGTCACCTGAAACCTGAGCTGTGAATCTGTGGGGTATTTTGATATCTGTATCTTGCAAGCTGCAGGGAATCTCCTTGCTAAAGAACCTGTTGGTTCAGCCTCCGATGCTATAATTACCACAAGCAGAAAATAGCTGTGGGCTGTTTCTCTCTGTCCTTCGCTCACCAGGGCCCAGCTGGAGGATGCAGATCCCACCGATGTCTCCCTTTACATCTTGCACTGCGGCCGAGTGGGCTGGGTGTTTTGTTCAGTTATAAGGTATTGACCCTTCCCAGGCCCTTGCAGAAGCATTTCAGTGCTTCAGGGTGAGGGAGATAAGCTAAGGGCTTTGGGAGTCAAACCAGGAGCAAGGCTGAGGGGAGGTGTTTGGCTCTTTGTGGTGTACTTGGTCCTGTTCGTAAGATGCTCTCAGTTCCCTTCTGCATCTTAGAGGCTCTTTTTATGTGTCCCACTGTGAACTAAATCTTTCTTGAACCTTGATGAGCTGCATATGATGCTCCAGGTGAAGTCTCATGGCAGCCCTGTAAGATGCCCCATCCCTGGCAGTGCTCAAGGCCAGGTTGGACACAGGGGCTTGGAGCAAGCTGCTCCAGTGGAAGGGGTCCCTGCCCATGGCAGGGGTTGGAGCTGGATGAGCTTTCAGGTCCCTTCAACCCAAACCAGTCTGGGATTCTATGATACTTCCAGTATTACCTCCTGATAAATTGGCTTTTTCCCCCTGGCAGCCTGAAGTCATTCTGTGATTGCACCCAGAGTTTTTCCCTTTTTTCTCATTATTTTAAATGTGGAATCAGCATTAACAGGAACTTGTGTAAGTGCACACAGCTGCTACATGGATAAGCCCCCAGCTTTCCTATGAAAGGTTAATTGTGAAGCTGAGAATCCGAACCTCACCATAAACCCTTCCTTGTCCTTGCTTATGGTCTCAGATCAACTGCTTTGGAGTGTGGTGTTTAACCTGCAGTGGCATTTCCAGCATCAACAGCCCAGGTGTTTATCTGGACGCTGAGCCACAGTAACTGCAACACAGTGATGGCTGCTGGCCCGATAAGAGCTTGGCTGGGTTTAACTCTTTGAGGTCGTGCACTGTTTTGTTGGGAGCTGCAGGTTCAGTTCATGGATCAGCATCCACCAAACCCTTGAAGGCTGGAGGCAGGAGCAGGGGACTGTGCACAAGAGCTGGCTCCTCTTTGCAGCCTGGTGTGGCCACAAGGTGATAAACAGCTCCCCAGCCCACTGGATGGGTAACCTTGGCTTCTGAGGCCATGAAGCTGCTCAGTGCAACACCACAGAGGTAACTGTGCTCTGGCTTCCTTTTATCAAGACATTCCTGGTTTTCCCAAGGAAAAGTGACTCGGAGGAGGCACCACTTCTGCTTCTCGTACCCTGTTCAGTGAACGTGAGGCTGTTGTGTAGCTGAGCTTGCAGTGGGGATGAGAATTACCACCAGGACAATAAGAGGTATGGCGCTCGAGCTATAATTTTCCATAGTGAAAGCACTGGACCGCTCAAAGCCCCACAGCTACCTACTGCATCCCATAATGTCTTGCTTCTTTACTGGGAAGGGATGGCTCTTTTCCAGGGCTTAGGTCATTTGTGCCCATTGCAACAGTTGTTCTACCGATGGGTCAGAGGAGCAGCAGGTGTTCTGAATGCCAGGCTGGGTAGCTGGTTTTGGTGGGGTTACCTTTTGGCTATTAGCTGTAGCAATTCCTTGAGGGTCTTCCAATGGGATCACTGGTTTTCCTTCCTGTCCTTTCCCACCCCATGCAGGTAAGATGAATCAGGGATAAGGAGCAAACGTTTACCCATTTAAATCTCAGTCAAAGAGATTTCATTTCAAAGACACACAGTGTCGTGGGGACCTTCATGTACGTTTTAAAACCATGGTCCCCAAACCATACATGAACTTGGGGTTTTCTTGCATGAACTTGAGGGGGTTTCTTCCGTGAACCCGGTGTTGCTGAGGCTCTGGCTTCTCCCTCCTCTCATTCTTTGTATTTCTCCCCTCATTGCCGAGTGGAGCTTTCAAAATCAAGGAATTTCGCTTCCCAAATCTTCGGGTTCTATTAAAAACGAGACCCCCGAGACGCGCAACCGGCCCCGGTGCCCCCGCATTGGCCCCGCAGCGGCGCGCTGCTGCCCTCTGCCGGCCGGGCCCTGCCACTGCTTCCCGCAGCACAGAGGGGGCGTCTCGTTGGGAGAAGCAACTTCCACAGGGAAAAGCGTTGGAAGTTTCGGTCGTGCGTTTGTTTTCCCGTGAGGAAGGAGGAGGGGAGGCTTTCTCCATGCGCTGTGTTCAGTTTCCCTCCTGGCCTTTGGGTTTGAAGGACGCCAGGAATGGTGACATGGCGAACCTCACCCTCAGCACTCCCTACTCGCTGTTGGGAGCAAAGTATAGTGCTTCCCTTAATCCTCCACAGGAGAAAACCCCCCCACCATTGCCAGCTTGGGAATGTCTGCAATGGCAGGAACAACCTGCAGCTGAGCACATAAAAAGCTGTTTCATCCAGGAGAGCTCCCAAAGTGGGAAGAGCATCTTTTTTTTTACCATCTTGCATGGGCATGTGCTTATTATTGGCAGAGGTTGTACAAGTGATAGAGATAAGAAAAGGAATGTTTACGCCCAGGCTCTCCCAACTTGTCTGAACTGCTCCAGGACGCTCAAGGATGCATCTTCATTGTTCTGGGTTGAAACCCCCTTCCAGCTACCAGCATTCCCACAAGCTCAGAGCAACAAGGACAGCCGCCTTCGGTATTGTCTCTCCATTTCAGTATCACCTCTGTTAGAACACCGGGGGCAATGCTGGTAGTTTAGCATGGCACAGCACTGCCCCATCATGAACAGAATGAGCACAAACAGCTCCTCAGCAATGAAAATTACTCAAGAGAGTTTTTGGAAGGAGTGTTTGTTTGTCAGCAGAAACAGTTCCCTGGTTCTAGCACCCTTCCAGAATAAGCTTTGGCTAATGTGGTGCCTGAATTTAGAAATTCACCCTTTGCAATGCCCTACAGCTCATATGTTTTGAAGTGAAATACTTTGTGTAGATAAAGCACAAACTTAGAGGGATTCTGGAGTGGGGGGTGTGATTAGAACAGTAATAATTCACCTTTAACCTGCTTGAAAAGATAGCTACAGAGCTAACCTGAAATCTCTTCTGGTTTTGGATGTATCGTGGACCATGGAGCTGAGCGCAACAAGCCCAGTGCAGCCCTTCTCCCAGGCTCTTAACTTTGACCTTGACTTCTCAAGGATTGTTTATGGTGTGTATTACTGGGCCATTCAGGCACCTCCTGTGGCTTCCCACTGTAAACACCAAGAGAACAAACTCAGATTTATTAATCAATTCATTAGATACAATATATTTATGGCTACCGCAGGCCCACAGTGATTTGTTTTAACAAAGTGTTAGGCTGCAGTGAAAAACAATGGGATGTGGTGCCTCACTTCTCCTTCCTAACGTGAATCCTCTTCCTTCCTAAGCAATGGTGGTAGCATTTATTCAATGGAATGGCTAACGTTTCCTCTGGAATTTGAACTTGTAAATAGCTGGCCCATTTGTTGTCTCTTTCTTCACCTTCACTTTATGAGTTTTGTCCTGGAGAAAAGAACAAGAAAACCATACTTGTTGCCATGTAAGAAAAAATAACCCACCCAGCCTGAGAGAAATAAGAAAATCCCTGTGTGGGACTGATGAGGCATTAGTGAAAAATGTGTGAATTAGTGAAAATCAGTGAAAAATGACAAGGCATTAGTGAAAAATTCCAACTGTTTAGCTGGGAATTATATTTCTGCCTGTTCTTTCCACCTTTAGGTTGTCAGGCACCATCTGGTTTGTTCACAGACTGCTGATGTGGTAAGACTTGGACTAGCAGATATAATTTCCTAGCCATGGCACAATTGGAATGCTCCATCTCCTCGCTTTTTCCATACTAGAAGAGGATTACTTTTAGCAGTTATCTGGAAGTGTCAATATAAAATCAGAGTGGAGAAGCACACACATACAAAAGCAGACCTAAGAACCTTAACAAAACAGATTCAAAGAATCAGGACAAAATCCCTCACCAAAAGATCTTTACGCGTCTGGATCTTCTGTGCAACAACGAACATGGCCTTTTCCCTTTCAATGCGCTGCTTCAGGAGGTCGTACTGATTCTTCCTTTGCTGGGCTAATTTCTGGAGGAACAAAACCAGAAGCTGTTTTAAGACAGAAAGGAACAGGACTCTGTGGTCTGTAACTGACCTCTTCTGAGGTACTCAGACCTTACAAGCATTTAGTACATTTTAAAAGCATCATCATATAAAGAAAGCTGCTTCAATTCGGTGGCTGGAGTCCACAGAACCATTTTTAACACCTTCATTTTGAGGTTTTCTAATTAGGACTTCATTCTTTGTTCTTGTTTTAATCTCCTAAATCATAAAGCCCCAAATCTCTTCAAACCTAGTTTAGACGCTGTGTAACCTTGTTCTGTACCTGGCTGGGATTTCATTTCTCTCAATCCTTTTAATTTCAATGTTAAATGCAGGAGAACACTGAACTCCCCAGCAAAAGCCCAGTTTATCCAGAAGAGAGGAAATAAAAGGAAAGACCAGAGACCAATTCCTGAAATGCCTCAAAATTGCAGAGAGGCTTCTCAAAATGCAACTTGTTTGGTCACGTTTACCTCCTGCGAGTGGATGGCTTTCCCAGCACAGAAATGGTATTAGTGCAGGTGTGATTGAAGTAATTAAATTAAGGAGAACAAATCCCAACACGCTTACAATATGACTCAGACCTTTAGAGGAGAAAACTTGTCAGCCTGAGACTTGTCCAACTGCTTTCCTGACAAGCCAAACTGAGAAAGCTGGCAGGAGGAGAGGGACCACAGGGTGTTTGTTATCTGACATCTGATTAGGGAAAAAACAGGTTACCAATTTGCCAATTGGCAATTTGGAATGTTGTTTTTAACCTTAAACAGACCAAATCAAGCTTATAGCACTGCCCAGTGTTCTAAAGCAATTAAGTGGTATTTACAGTGTTAAAGCTGAGTGTAGCTACTTCTAGACAGAAATGTTGTGATAACAAAGCATCAGAATCCAAGTGGATTGCATGAGCAATGCAACCTGAAGAGTCATGAAACACTTTATATTAAGAAACCTGGAAAGTGAGATTATAGCTTAAAGGTTTTTAAGGAGAAAAGGACAGAGTCAAATCCTGAATCTGAAGTCACTTCAGGCTCAGAACCTAAGGGAAAAATACTTTAAGATTAGAAACCTAACAATGGCTGCATCTATGTTGGAATAAGCTTCTTCACATCTATTCAGGGATGAAAGGGTTTGGGGGCATGTGTGAGAGCAGATTTAACAGGGGATGCTGCAAAAAAATCACACCTAAAACTGCAGCAATCTAATGAAAAGGTAGTGCCATAGGTGTATGTCATGTAACAGAGGAGTAATACATCAGTTTGCCAAGGAAACTGCCTAATCATATCTATACCATTCTGTTCTAGCCTATCTGTCACAGTTCTTGATTTATAATCCACAGTGGACTGGACTACCAGTGAACAAGTTCTCCATGTCAGTCCAGGAGAAGATTTGACTGTAGGCTCCAGGTACTTGATGATGAAGTGACATCCACCACAGCCTCCTGTTACCAATGTAAGTTTAAACCCAACACAAAAACTTTGTTCCCCTCCACAACAGTCCAATGAATCCTCTTTAGAGCTTATCATATAGAAGATTAAACCAAGAAGAAAATGACAATAGAAATAGTGGCAGCACCTTTAAGTGGAAAGGATCAGTAGCTCCTTTCAGTGTCTCTTTCTGCAGGGTCGCAATGGTTGGTCGGTTGTACACTCTATCTACGAGCTCCGGAAGAGTATCCAGATGAGTTGCAATATCAAACTCCTGAACTATAAATAACAAGAAGTTAGGAATAAACTCCCATGGACCAGCAAACCTTTCAAACATGTAGCCTAAGAGCTGTCAGTGATGGAAGTCCCAGCTCCTGCAGAACTGAGGTCTTCTCTAGTAATCAAAAGAGAACTCTAAAGCACCAAATTATTATTCCTGGGAAAAATAGTACCTTTGCTTACTGTAATGGCATAAAGAAAGCACCATTGTAATTTAAACAGCTACAGTAAAACATAACAGAACAAGTTTTCTGCTACAACCCATTTAAATCACAGAATCCTACAATGGTTTGGGTTGGAAGGGACCTTAAAGCTCATCCAATACTAATCCCCTGCTACAGGCAGGGACACCTTCCACTAGGGTGGAGCTTCTGCCTAAGAGCTCAGCTCAGTCTCCCCTCGGGCAGGTTCAAGCCATTCCCCTTGGCCTGTCCCTACAGGCCCTTCTCCCAAGCCCCTCTCCAGGTTTCCTGCAGCCCCTTTAGGCACTGGAGCTGCTCTAAGGTCTCCCCTTCAGGAGCCTTCTCTTCTCCAGGCTGAACCAGCGCAGCTCTCTCAGCCTGGCTCCAGAGCAGAGCTGCTCCAGCCCTTGGAGCATCTTACCTTCTTTTTTGGTATCAAAGAAGAACACGTGCTTGTTGGGACTCTTCCCCTCCGCATCCAGCAGATGGAGCTCCGACTTCAGCCTCTCGATTTTCTGCAGGCAGGAAGTTAACGTGTTTTGCCAAACATCCGTGACAAGGTAAATAAATAATGTCTCCCTGTTTGTTTCTCGAGCATCAGAACTCTTCCTTTCTTTTTAGTCTTTGGAAATACACCTGGTCTATATTTACACCATGTCTTCATAACCTTTTGGGTAGAGGTTAACAGTAATTTCTGGTACTACCCCGCTAGATAGGTACAAATCAATTTTCACAACAGGAAGTTATCTCTATGGTGAATGAAGTAGGAATGATCACCATGAAATCACTAGCAAAAGCATGAAGGCAAATCCAAAGCTTTCTCTTTATTACCTGCAGTGATGGTGTGTGGATCACCATCAGAGCACAAAGCATGTCCAGAAGTGGGTTGTTTATCTGTTTATTGACTACCTACTGTATTCAGTTCCCTTCTGTAACAATAATTCTCAATTCTTTATAAATATTAGAAGAAAGAGTAAATGTCTAATGTCTGAAATGTACATGAAAATTTGCCATGTTTACCTTTAGGTTTTATACACACTGACATTTCCACCTACCATTTCCACTATGACACAAATCAGATTTCACTCAACATACATACAATAGCCAACAACACAATCAAAAGAACAATCCTGAGCAAACCCTAAAAGGAAGTGAAGTGTTACCTTGGCTTCTGCCACTCTCTTCATTTCCACATATTTAATATCCTGCGTCCTCATCAGTTTGACCTGTTCAGGAGTCACTTCATCCTTTGGCAGCTTTTTAATATGAACTCCATCCTAAAACCAGATAATATGGCACAGACAGATAGATACCATTCAGCTACGGATCCTAACAATAAACCCAAAAGATCCTTTTTGCCCTTTGGCCCTCATCTTCTTCAAAGCTTTCCACAGGCACCAAAGCAGGTTTGCTAATCTGTTTACTAGTTCATAATGAAAACCAACACGAGGTAGAGAAAACATGATGTTACTCACAGCAACTGAGTGTAGCCCTGCTTGAAGGCAGTTCAGTTTCTCACCTTCAGCTCTGCACGTATCATTTTAAAGTAGAACTCATCGGGATTCTTGTCCAGAGCTTTCTTTTGAAGCGCTCTGAGGGCATTCTGCTTCTTGTGGTAGTCACTAGGAGAGAAAGCCAACAAAACCAACCCAACCCATAATGTTGTTCAGCAGTTTCGCCATGTTCACAGTCCCTCATGAGGGGCTGAGTCCTTCAAATTGATGCTCAGATCTTTGAGACACCAACAAAAGACTTGAGCTTTATGATTTATTCCTTAACTAAGCTGGAAACAAACACTGTCCAACAACAGGACATGGAAACACATTCACCCATCCTGCGAAGCTCACTGAGCTGCTCAGGCCTCCTGGATCTACAGAATCAGGCATTAATGATGGAATCATAGAACAGTTCGGGTTGGAAAGGACCTTAAGATCACCCAGTTCCAACCCCCCTGCCATGGGCAGGGACACCTCACACTAAACCACCTCACCCAAGGCTTTGTCCAACCTGGCCTTGAACACTGCCAGGGATGGCGCATTCACAACCTCCTTGGACAACCCATTCCAGTGCCTCACCACCCTAACAGGAATGAATTTCCTCCTTAGATCCAATCTAAACGTCCCCTGTTTAAATCAATGACGGAATATAACGCTTGCAAGTTTTGATTAACCCCAAGAACGACTTTGCAGCCCTCGCCCTCCACGTTCCCATTCCCCCGGCTCAGCCATGGGGATACTGGAGCGGATGCGGCCCCTGCCTGCAGGACGATCCGTGCTAGACGGTATCGGGAACACCGGCTCTTGTGCGATCACCAGCGCTGGCTCCCCTCCGCCGTCCCGGAGCCTTCCACCGGGAGCCAACGCTCCGGTGGTGCCCGGACTCCCCCCCGCCATCAGCGGCCCGACTTACCGAGCGCGGAGCCTGTAGTCCTTCTTCTTCTCCAGCAGCCCCAGCTTCCTCCGGGAGGCGGGCTAGGAGGGGAAGCACAGAACGGCATTAGCGGCCGTCACCACCGGTAACTCCCGCCGCGGCCCGGCCCGGCCCGGGGCACTGACCTGTGACCGCTCGCGGTGTGGGCGCTGCTTCGATTTAGACGCTTTCCTGAAGGCGGCCGACATGGCGGCGGGCTCCGATCGCCGGGCTCAGGCCTCGAACTCCTCACCCCGGTACCGGTATCCCGGTGCTTCCCGGTGCCGCCGCCGCGCCGTGACCGGAAGGGGCGGGGCTTCGGCGTCAGAGGTCGCGCGCGAGGCTCGCCGGGAGATGGCGCCGTCTCCATGGCGACAGCGACGCCAGGCGGCCCGGAGCGCTCCCCGTGCCCGGTTAGGCCCCGCCGGACCCGGCCTTCCCTGGGTGGGGGGAGGTTGTCCCTGCCGGTGCTCGGCCATGAGGGTCCGGCTGAGCGCGGGGACCCGCGGCCCTACTCAGGGGAAGGGTCGCCCGGGGGGACCCGAGCTCCCGCTCGCCCTCAGCGGCCCTGGTGGGGCTGGTCTGCGCGGGCCGGGCTCCGCACCTCAGCCCCGGTGACCGGTGTGGGGAGGCCGACCGGTTCCCTCCCGTGCTCCGCGTAGGGCTTGTACAAGCCCGCAGGGCCGGCGGTGGCGGGGAGAGCTCGGTGGGGCCGGGGATCTAAACCGCGGCGCCCCTGCGGGACAGCAGCTCCCTCTCGGCGGTAGAACACCCCGCCGATGCCTGCTCCCCCGGAGCCCTCGCTGCCGCTCCTCCGTCCCGCGGAGCCCCGGCGCCAGCTGCAGCGCAGCCCCCTCCCGGCTCTCGGAGCGCGGGCTTGTGCGGGGCGGGCACCGGACGGCCCGGCCCTGCCCCAGCCCAGCCCAGCCCAGCCCAGCCCACCGCCCCTCGGCCCCGCCCCGGGCTGGGCGCCTGCTCCGCGGGGCTGGAGAGCACATCGGAGCGGAGCCGGAGTGAGCTGAGCCGCGCTTGCCCATCGCCGGGAGAGCGAGTGTGAACGCCGAGCAGGTAGGTTGAGATGGGCCGGGCAGCACCGTGCTGGGGCAGCGGCCGTGGTGGGAGCTGCCGCCCGCTTCCCCCCCACCAGCCCCGGGCGGGCCGGGGCTTGTCCCGGAGCGGGGGGAGTGGATCTGTGTGTGTGGAGGTGACGGTGCCTCCGCCGCGGGTGTCCCGGGCGCGGCCGGGGAGCCCCGGGGGACCCCGGGAGGGTTGGCTGGTCGGTAGCCGGGATGCAGCTCGCCCAGGGAGCCGCGATGGGGTTTGGGTGGGAAGCACAGCTCGTTCCGCTTTCTGAAAGGGGAAAAACCCCACTCTTTGGGCCGTGTCCCTTCCCCAGGCTGCGCGGTTGCAAAGCTTAAGCTGTGTTTTATTAAGTAAGCTCTGAAACTTTACCCAACCAATAAACTCGGAAGTAAACTTAAACCAAATGCTCCAACGTAGCGCAAGGAAATGTTTAACACATCCTAAATGGTTGCTATGTTCCCAGGGAATCCCAGGGTGGGTACAGGGAAGGACTGCTCCAAGCCTTGCTTTTTGTATGTGTGTGTGTGTTAAACAAAGACTCTGCAGGCATGGTTTGGATCTCGCTATTAAAAACCAGCTCAGCATCACTTCAAAACGGGTTGGGGTTTTCACTAAGCACAGTGTTGTTTCAGATGATTGCATTTTCTTTCAGGTGATGTTTTCTGTTTTGGTTGCCAGTTTAGTTGATGTTTTGTACTTGTGGTTACATTAATCACTTTGACTCTTCCATGAGAATTCACTTTAGATTTGCCCTGGGTGAAGTGTGTTAGCAGGAATTACTCCCCGCTGACTCACAGCTCAAATGGATGGTGGATGTTGGTGGTTGGTTACTTACCTTCACAGTGCTGTTTGATACTGAGGTCTCCATTCTTTCAGAGCTGAATGTAATGCCTTCGCTGTTTCATAAAGAAAGCTTCCCAAAGTGGAAAACCTCTCCCAGGAGCAAAGGGAAGGCGGCCCCAGAGCAGGCCCATCTGATGGACGCAGGATCCTGCTGGCAGCTCACCCCATTAGAGAGCAGTTCAGGGAGATTTAGTTTTTAGACTCCTGTACCAAGCACTAGAAATCTGTGGCTCTTCTGGCCCCTCTGGGCATGGGATTGTCAGATATTCCCTTTGCTGTTCAGTTTTGTGAAGTGTTTTCTTGGATATGTCCTTAGGAGGCTCCTGTATTTAAATATCTGCCTCTGGCATGAGTAATCTTTTTTCTGATGTTCACAACAGTGTTGAAGCTGCCTCATTTCCCTAATTTGCTTTGTCAAAATGTGGTTTGACTTCCTGATAGGCAGGACAGCAGGAAAGGGGAAGTCTGACATTTCTCCTGTCTTAGTTTTGTGCCATTTCCCTTCCTTTTCCTAGGATGGAGACCATTTGGTTCTCTTGCTCGTGTTCTTGGCTACTTCCTTAGAGACACAGAGTTGTGAGCATTGGTTTAATTCTTTCCCAGCTAGGTCTGTAATTTCGTATGCTTTTAAGACTAGTGGCATAGCACAGGAGACAAAAATACAGGCAGTGTAGCTCATTGTGGGCACTAATTACAGTGGGTGCTCTGCTGCAAAAAGTATGTTTTGGAATAAGGACTCCTTAAACCTGCACACAGGGAGTGGTGCGGACACACCAAAGGCAGGGTGGTGCTTGGAAATATCCAGAATTCCCTAGCAGGAAGCCCTGTGAACACTTCCATGGCCTCAGCTGCTGGAGCACCGCTGTCTCTCCATGCAGGATGTTTTTGAGATGCCTCTTGGGGAAAGAGCTCTGCATCTCCCCTGCCTGCAGAACAGCACTGAGGAGCTGAGCAGGGACTGGTGTGCTGGAGATAGGCTGGTTCCTTGTTCTCTGGGAGGACGGTAGGTTCCTGCCATTCCCTCTGCAGGGTTTGCAAGCATCTGCAGCCCTTCTGCTGTCAGCTCTGCTTCCTGTTTACGCTGCAGTTGGGTTTAGAGCAGACTGAAACAGCCATGCTGCCTGTCAGTGGGGTGGCCCAACTACCCAGGATCATCATGGGGAAGAAAAGCAGGAGGAGGCTCTTCCCTGGCCTGTGTCATTGTGGTTGCCCTGACACAGAGTACCAGCCTTGTGTGGCTGTGGGCAGTGTTCACTGGTCAACAGATATGGGAGGGGTATGAGCTCAGTGATGTTCTTTGGGTTTTGGACCTGACAGCTTTAGGATAGAGGTGAACCCTTAACTGATGGAGCCAGGGAAACTCTGGGGGCAGGTTACTGAAATTCCCAGTGCACCAACTGTAGAAACACTTGGTTCTGTTCAGAGCCAGGACTTGCTCAACTGCAAGATGCTTTGTGCTGTGTTCCTAATTGCGGCTGAGCTGGTGCTGTTACGTGGCCTGCTGGTGGTTTTGAATTGCCAGCAGGAAAAAGGGATAAATGGATTCCTTCTCCTGCTCAGGTGATTCCCACCCCATCTCTCTGGAAAAGGACTTTGATGGTAATCCCAGCACTGATACAGGAGATTTTCATAGTGCCTGTTAGGGTCCTCATCCATGTCTGTGGGATTTCCACTGTTCTTGGCTTGCATGAGTTCATGCTTGAAGAGCCCTGGTTGCAGCAACAGCCTTGGAGAGACACATGAGCATAAACCTTGTGCCTCTGCTTCACCTTCAGTGCAAGACATTTTCCACAGGCGTAAAAGGTGTTTAGGGAAACCTGGGGACTGACTGGTCTGAATAAGAGCTGAGCTCCTCCACCGAACAAACAGCTCCAGAACTTCTTGTAATTGCTCATGTAAGGAAACCACTTTGCTGGTGTTCAGCAATCAGTATCCACGGTTGGTATCTTCAGTTCTTGGATTGCCTGTGCCCACCATGGAGCACCCACCTTGGTCTGGGGAGAAGGTGGTGCGATGCCATTTGCAGTTTTACTCAGCATTCAACTCCAGAGCTCAAGCTGTTACACCTCGTTCCTTGGGGGCCTTTGACTATTTCTGCTGAAAGAGATGCAGTTTCAATGGCCAAAATGGAAAAAGTCAGAGAGAACTTGTCAGTGTTCTGCCTGGTGAGGTCATGAAAACAGATGTAAATGTTTTACTCTGGTTAAAAAAAAGGCAGGTAGAACAATAAACCCCAGCTGCATCTAGGAAAGGGAAGAGACCAATTGTTAGGGGACAGAGAAACGTTACCAGTACTATGTAATGTTCAGATTGCTGCCAAGAATCTAGGGTAACTGTTAAAGGCTAGGACATTGGAGTACTAGGGCTGAGATTTTGCAAGCAAAGGGGTTCAGCTGCACGTGCTGTAGTGGTTTCAGTGGAACTTGGGCCAACCCTGACAGCTCTGGCTGCTCTCTGGGAAGCAGCTGCCGTGAAGCCGCTGCAGAGCTCCCCGTTGTGTCATTCCGTGGAGGGGAGGTGGTGTTTCCCACGAAGGCTCATCTGTACTTGCTAGGCTTTGTCCATTAAGTGGTGGCTCTTCAGCTGCAGTTGGGAAGAAAACTGCCCCATTGTGCAGAGATGTAGTTGCTGAGAAAAGTTCTTGGGCTTTGTTTCTTCTCTTCCTTCCTCTTTGCGCTGGTTTTTGCCAGGTGTAAAATACAATTGTCAGCAGTTTACAAGGAGGGGGAGTGTCAGTTTTCCTGTTGAAGAAAATATCAAGGGGCTGATTGTGAAAGGAAAGGGGAAATTGAAGAATGCCACATGGCTTCCACCTTCCTGTATTTCATCCTAGCAGAATTGCCTCTGCTCAGTGACTCACTTCGTGTCTGTGGATATTTGCTAAATGGAGAAGGGGTTTAGCAAATGATTCTGCCCTTGCTCAACAGGAGCCCACTGAGAGGATAATATTACTCTGGGAGCAATTGGAAGGATGCGTCTATTAGGGCTAAGTTAATAGTTAATCAAGAGCTGTTTAGAAATGTTTTAACATAAAATCCAAACAGCAATGTAATAAAAATCCTACAATTTATGGTCTTGTTCTTACTGCAGCCTTGCTTTGGCTTCATTTGGCCTGTGGTCATCAACATTAACTCACATCATTTTTTATTTGCCTGTGATTACGGTAGATTGTCCTCTGCAAGTTCCAGTGATTTTATGCAAAGTATTTTGAACTCCTCAGCTAAGAAAATACTGATTCTTAAATCAGCACCGGGGATGAATATTAACTCGACCCTTCTGATTGGTGTGCGTGCTGGATGGAAGCTTGTTGGTGTTTATGCCCAACCTGCCCAGTGCCAGTTCTGTTCAGGAGCATAA